ATCATCCTACACAAGTCTTTAATACAAACCATTATCTTTTCTACTTAATACTTTGTCTTTACTAATTATCATTTATCCCTTTAATTATCGATTTTGGTTAATTCGAACTACCCGAATTAATTAAATTCATTATGTACAAAAATGAGAGGTTAATGTGTCTAATTGTAATTTTTTAAAGTTCAGAATTTACTTGATTTTTCCCATAAAATTTAAGGGTCTCTATTCTACCATTTTTCTATATATTTTATTTTACATAAGAAATTGATGAATTTAATTTTTTTTTTCACTCTATTTCTATTCTTTAAACCAATCAAAATATGAATTCTGAAGTCTATTCCTTCAGCAATATAATTTCTATTATATTCATTCCTTATGAAATATAATTTTCATTCTCCCAAAGTTTTTTTTTTTTTTTTTTTTTTACAAATCCCAAAGTCTATTATGTGAACTAAACATGTTTATAGCTAACATATAAAACGGCTTCTTTCTAATTGAATTCATGACTGCTTTATTGGCTGAAAATTAATAATACTAAATTGAAGAAAGAACAACCATAAGCAAACAAGGCATTACCAGATGTCAAAAAACAAACATATTATCCGTGACAAGTAAATAGCATTCAAATCCATTATGCAAATACATTAAAGAGAGATTCACCATGACCTCGATTTAACGATGATAGAAAATAAAAACAGAACAATAGAACAACTTGGTGCACACTATCACTTCTCAAACCAAAAAGAAAAAAAAATAATCAATAAGAAATTCCAGCATGACTTATCACAGTGTAGTTAGAGCTCCGGTCTTGTGGAACACACATGAATTGCACGGTGGTTTCTGGAGATTATCTTTACAGCACAAATGAGCGTAGAGAGTGTTCATCATTCAGCAGGAGAAGATTGCATGCAACAGAACCATTTCTTCTACACAACATTAAATCAATCAGGTTATGATCTAACAAGTTGTAATCCATTCAACAAATCAAACATTAGCAATTATAATCCTCTTTAAGACACATTTTCCCTACAAAAATGCTTCTGCCTTTGTTCAATTTACTAATTTGTGTATGCATCTGAGAAGATTTGGCATACTCTAATTTATAGCCCATCACAATATTTTCATGCACTTGATTTTCTATAGGTGACTTTGTGAATAGCTTTCTGTCAAAAATTCGAAAACAGTAACAAGTTTGCCACACTTGGAGTTTTCATTATATTAGGAGATAATCAGCAGGTAAATAATCACCATGAATTTGAGGGGGTTGATTAGGCTTTACAGCATGGCTCAGACTCATAGTTATCAAGTTGATAGCAGACCAGAAGCTCATTGAGCTTGAAACAAACAAATAATGTGTGGAAGTATGGGGAACAAAGTCAGTAACAACTCACTGATTGAGGCTTTCCAAGAGTAGCTTTACGTTTATATCCAGGATCTCTCTTTGGTGGCGACTCTGGCCTGCCACCTGCCCTTTTCTCATTTCTAGCTTTGTTGAAAATCACCGTGAACCCCTCTGCTGAAGCTGGATCATTGACATCCCACTCACCAAACTTTGGCAATGGTCGCCCCATTTCCTGCAGAACGAAGTTGGGCAATTAGCATCATCATAGCTATAAAATTAACAGACAAACTTGCAGCAGCCAACCCTTACTTTAGGGGAAGAAGTTTGACAATCAGGCAGTGATATTCTCTAAATAGCATGTGTTTAGAAGGCTTCAAATGCATAAATATGTTGCTAGCTATGTGTTAAAAAGGAAAGTTTTTTGAAGTTACAAAATCTGATTCTGCAAATATTCTTCCTGGTTTATAGCAGAAATTAGTCCCCTAATTTATGGGTAGGAATAATTGCAAACAGAGGAATTAGTGCTAGTTTTCCTTTTTTAGGGTGCCTTCCTAGTTCCTGCCTTTGAACAGTTGTATCCCTCACCATCCAAATAAGAATAAAAATTTCTCCAGCAGCTAATGTCTCAGTTTTTGCTAGGTGCATGCAGATATACGTATAGAGATATATAACAAAAATATGAAAAGATTCTAATGTGCTGATCCCTTTTACCCGCGATATAACCCCAAAATGTGATTCGGCTTTGAGTTTGTGTACAAATCAAAAGTCTTTCTCAAAACTTTTAACTTATACTGATACATGAGACACCGGTGAACTAATCATTCCAAATTTCCAATAGCAATAATACGCAAATATACACAAACAATCATAGTATTGAAAAGGAATAGACATCTGAACCCAAAAATTAAAAAAATTTTAAAAAAATCATTATGAACATCAAATCTCATCTCTAAGTGCAATTAACTGATCGAATGGATTGTTCTCATTAGTGGATTAAGTGCAAATGTGGCTTTCTAAGCGTAATTTCTTCAAAATTCCAATAAAATTATTATGAAAAGCCATTCATGGGCGTTTTATTAGACATACAAAATATCTGAAAATTTTCATTTTTATGATCATTATACGGAGTAACAATTATTACAGCAAATTTTTTTCTACGAGAAGGAATACGTTTCAGAAACATTTCAACAGAACCGACAAAGAAGATCGAACAACCAGAAATTCGAAAATGATTCAAATAATTTGGATGAGACGTCAGCTGCGATTAGGACAGAGAAACAAAAATCAAAAGTGAAAAGTTGGTGCCATAGAGGAAAAGAATACATAGGAAGGGAAGATAAAAACAAAACAAAACAAAATCCGGCTTATATTTGAATCATCGACATCAAATCAAACATAAAACGGATGAAGAAGAAAGAAATATGTATATAGAGAGAGGGAGAGAGGAGAGAGGAGAGGAGATACCGCCATGAGAGAGAAAGAGAGGGAGAGCTTTTGGTTGATACGATTTGTTTCTCTTTCTCTTTCTCTCTCTGTTTGTATGAGTTTGCGTGCGAATGAGATGGGTTATGTCATGGTTTTGTTACCCGAAACCGATCCTGAGAGGTGAGAGAGAACAGGGCGAAGATGAGAGAGAAAGTATAGCTGTCTCCTACGTGGATTTTTCTCCCCTTACCTTGGACCCATGTTTTTTTTTTTTTATTTATTTATTTAAATTCTTTAAAATATTGTTCTTATTTCGTTTCATTTTAGTTATTTTGAAGAACATTAGTTTATAACAAAGGTCGTTGTATTCGTATTATTTTAGTTATTATTAAAAAAATTAATTAACAAAATGTTAGATTAATCTTATCCCATGCAATCGTGCATACCATTATAATAATATATGAAAGAAAATTATTGTAATTTTTATTTTAATGGGTGGACTGTGGAGTATATTAAATATTGTGATAGCCCAAATCCCAAGATTTGATGTAAAGAATATTTTATATTTTTATAAGAAGGATTAATTTTAGAAATAATTATTTTACTATTGACATTTATCTTTTTTATTTTAACTTTTAGTTTAATTGGTCCTTTGATTATTAAGTTTATTCTATATTGATTATTCAGTTAAATATTTATTTAATACTCCGTATGTATTAAATTAAAAGGTAATGATGTAAAAATTAATTAACAAAATCGCGTCATGTTCAAACAAAGTGTATAATAGCCTCAAATTTGGGGTAGAGAGTATCCAAATTAACTCATACATTAACATGTTCTTCATATTCCCACTTATGATGAACCTAGTGTATGAAATTTATGAAACTAATTTGCTCATCTCAGTTACAAGTCAATTTTTACATTCTTAATCTTAAATTTAACTCATATTAAATGAAAAATTTAACCAAAAGACCAAATATAAAACAAAATCAATAATCAATGGGCTATTTTATGATCAAATTGACCGTCAATAATAAAAATTACTCCATAGTAAATATCAATAGGTAATGGATAATTATCAGAATTAACTATTTCAAAGAATAAAAGTGTACTTGAAATTACCAATTGCCTAAAAGTAAAGATTTTTATTGGATGACAAGAAACATTCACAATCATTGTATGAGAATGTGCATAGTATAAACCTCACATTGTGACCTTAATCGATAAAAAATTGATCATCTTAAATCAAGAAAGTCAATAAAATGCTCCCAATTAAAGTCAAACTTAAAATTTTATTTTTATTATTATCAAACCAACCGTCTAACTAATTTCACAATTTGGCTAAATTGTCCCAAAAAGTGAAAAAGTTTTATAGTTGGGAGAAAGACTGAATTATGAAGGAAGATGCATTCATTTCCCAAGATGTGTCGCCCCTTTTTTGTGGACAAAAATATATAAAAAAAACGTTTGGGAGATGCGTTTGATGTCACAATTGGTCAAACACAAACGCATCTTCTACTTGTGTTTGTATTATTTATTTATTTTTTTTTAATCTGATCACCGGCACTTTTTCGCTGGCAACACCAGTCACCGATTACTCAGCGAAGAAAGTAGCCTTCTCCTTCGCAGGAAAAGCCGACAACACTAGGTTGGTCGCTGGCTTCTCCAGCATAGGAGAAGGCAACCAGTGGCCTTCTCCTTCACTATGAAGCCGACGATACCAGTTTAGTCGCTGGAGAATCCAGCGAAGGAGAATGCCACTGGTTGCCTTCTCCTTTGCTGGAGAAACCAACGACCAAGTCGCTAGCTTCTCTAGCAAAGGAGAAGACAACCAATAGCCTTCTCCTTTACTGGAGAAGCCGGCAACATCAGTTTGATCGCTGACTTCTCCAACGAAGGAGAAGGTAACCAATAGCCTTCTCCTTCGCTGGAGAAGTGAGCGACCAAACTGGTGTCGCCGGCTTCTCCACCGAAGGAAAAGGGCGGTGGAGAAGGCCACCTCTTTCGCTAGAGAAATCGGTGACAGGTGTCATTGGCAACCAAATTAAAAAAATAAAAAATAAAATAAAAATACAAACGTAAGTGGAAAATGCGTTTGTGTTTGACCAATTCTGACATCAAACGCATCTTCCAAACATCCTTTTCATATTTTTGTTCACAAAAAAAAAGGTGACACATTTTGGGAAATGAATGCATCTCCACATTTCAGTCTTTTTCCCTTTATAGTTGGGTAGACTTGATATTATGGCGGAAAGTCATCCTGCCTCCATTTTATTGATGATAATACACAATACACTCAAAATGAAAAAAAAAAAAAAACAAAAACATTTGGAATACATAAAAAGGGGCCCCAGGTAGTGAAATTTGTTCCCAGGTCGTGGTTTGGGCATCTAAACATAACCTCTAAATAGTACAGATGAAACCCAAATGGCAGAAGCATGGTTAATTTCCTATATTGATTAACTAAAAAGGATCAAACCAGCTCTAACACCAGGGCGGAAGCACCTCCTCCGCCGTTGCACACGCCGCCAACTCCGTATTTCCCGTTCTTCTGCTTCAACACCTGCACCAACCCATTTCAATTCTTATGAGTTATGATGATAGCTCATTTAGATAATGCTCATCCTAACATAGCTCTACACTAAGGCATTTGAGTTTTACAAAAAATCTGGAACCGAGGAATCCAGTGTGGTAAAACATACCCCAAGAAGTGTAATCAATATACGGGCGCCACTGCATCCTAGAGGATGCCCCAAAGCTACGGCTCCACCATGAACGTTTACTTTCTCCTGAAAAGCACAAATTAAAGGCAATCCTGTCATGTGATGAAAGTGTGTACTTATTTTGAGTGTGATTCACGAGTTGGTTAGCAAGTACTCCATAATAAATATATTCTCGAATGGAAGAGCTCAAAATATGAGAGAACTCACCGCATCAAGCTCCAGCAACTTCTGATTTGCAAGAGCCACAGCCTGCATATATGGTATGTTTGGAATGAGAAGGGATACGGATGCAAACTCAAAGGTAAAAACTTGGAAGTATATTTATTTTGAAAGAGTTAGGCAAGGAAACATACTGCAAAAGCTTCATTGATTTCATAATAGTCAACTTGAGAAGCTTCAAGGCAAGCATTTTTAATAGCCTTTGGAATTGCAAGTGCAGGAGCAGTTGTAAATAGTTCGGGTGCCTGCATCATTTTATCAAATTTATGCATCAATATTGTGAATTAAAAAAAAAATGATTGCAGCTAATAATAGGATATTGAAGTATAGGTCATACATGAGCAGCATCTGCATATCCTTTAATCTTTCCAATCACAGTTAAACCAAGCTTAACAGCTTTCTCTCCACTTACTAAGACCAGAGCAGCAGCACCATCACTGAAAATTAGATTGTTTTACTTGTCAACAAAATTTCATAAAAATGGATACAAGAATTTCTTCAGTAAATCAGAGCCTGGTGAATGGCACTCAAAGAAGTGTAAGAAGGGAATCTGAGATATAAGCATTCATGAAAACAATTCTTTTTCACCAAAATAAATAAAATGAACGGGTGCATGTAAACAAACCTTATGCTAGAAGCGTTGCCAGCAGTCACGGTACCTCCAGTTTCCTTAAAACTTGGTCGGAGTTTCCTCAACTTTGAAGCATCAAACTGGCGAGGCAGAATGAGAGTGTACCGTTAAAGTAATATTCCATAATACTTTCAAAGTTTTAAAGCCATTTTAACAATCCTTACATTTGGCAAAGTACTTCAGATAGTGATTTACATTTACACAAAGATGCAGGAATATAAATTTGGCATTTAATTGTCAGGAATTGATTCATCTTCATCACTAGTTTTTGTTTTTGTTTTCTCCCATGGTGAGGAATGGCAAGTACTGAATTAGTGAATATCTGAAATAATATATTTACCTTCCCCAAACCTTCATCCTTATCAACAATTGTAGATGGCTTTCCTCTTCCCCCTGATACTTCAACCTGCAAATTATCAAATTATGATAAAATACTCTTAAAGAATTAATCAGACTTGTTGTTTTTAAGAGGAAAAGGGTTGTAGTGAATGTGATCAAGTTGTTTTACCGGCACGATCTCCCATGAAAAAGCACCAGCATTTTGAGCAGCAATACCGCGTTCAAAACTTTGAACTGCAAAATTATCCTGTTTGCATCATTTAAGATTAGTTATTAAACTCCTTAGCAAATTCGAAGTTTTCCTTTGCTTTTACAACTGCACTAAGACAAGTGCATTCAAATGCTAAAAGGTAAAACTAAAAATGATACTTGTTTTAGACACGTTATTCTCACATTTGTAAATATTCTGAAAAAGATAAATCAATATGAAAACATTGGAAATAAAGGAAAATAGGAAAAAGGTAAAAACATGATTAAGCAATGTCATCAGTTTCATGTCTACACTAGAAAGGAGTCCAGAAATAGAATTACTAGATTCAACAAAAAATATTTTGGAATGTAATAACTTCTACACAAACCTGGTCTTCTCGTGATAATTTATGAGTTTCAGCACATAATTCAGCACAAACTCCCATTCCGCAATCATTGTAGACATCCCACAAACCATCTTTAAGCATTCCATCAACAAGAGTATCATGCCCAAGGCGAGATCCTTTTCTGCAATTATGCAGAGATGCAGGGTAAATAAATATAACACTCACCCATATGTACTGGAATTGCAAGCACAATATGATATTGCCTAACAAGAATTCAGCGAAGACACAACAGCTGGTAGAGTGTATAGCATCTGCGTTGTAATCTATAGATACTTATGACTGTACCTCACTTAGGCCAGTTTAGAGGTTCTAAATTTATTCCTCAAGTATTAGTCAATTTGGAAGTTTATACCTTGATTCATTCCCCACACCATACCCCTTTCCTATTTCCACCTGGGGAAGCAGAGTGAGAGCCAGTTGGGGCTCAAATGAGTAAAGACACTATAGAAGTATCATCGGTAGAAGAATACAAACCTTGCTTCAGCAATGTATTTGGGAGCATTTGACATGCTTTCCATGCCACCGGCAACAACAACATCATTGATGCCCAACTGGATACTTTGCGCAGCAAGCATAGTTGCTGCAGTGCAAAATAAATATATCATGTTATTAGGCTTAATGTTTCGTATAATAATTGTTGTGGTACATATGATTATGGAGGTTCCACTGTTGCACTGAAGAAATGGTGCACAAACCTTTCATCCCAGATGCACAAACTTTGTTGACAGTTGTGCAGACCACTGTGTTAGGGATTCCTGCACCAAGTGCTGCTTGTCTGGCAGGAGCTTGGCCCAGGTTTGCACTGAGTACATTTCCAAAGATTACTTCTTCGACAAGTGATGGTTCAATATTTGCCCTCTTAAGAGCACCTAAAGTGGCATTGAAGAAGAAATAATTTAATATGAAGATCTGCATGGTGAAGAAATTATATGAACATGGTGGTTTATCTTACTTTCAATAGCTATGGATCCAAGCTTGGTAGCTGACAATGATGAAAGAGAGCCAAGAAAGCCACCCATTGGTGTACGGGCAACACCAACAATGCAAACATCTATTTAACATAAATAAAGTAATGATCAATCATTGGATCTGTAGATATGTGTATGAAAAAAAGGCCAAACTCAAAAAGTCTTAATTACACAAAAATTGTGCACCATCTGGAGACATCAAATGATCAACAAAACACACAGATTTACAAAATTACATGAACCTGCTACAAACGACATATGCAAACACATACTATTGGAAATGCTTAATTATATGCTTATAATACAAGAATAAATTGTTCATGCGGAACTCAATGAATAGTGATTCAATGATGAAAATAAACAGAGAATAAATTTAGTTTAAACTAAAACTAAAAAGAAAAGCATGAGGTCAGATTTTGGCAATTGGATTATCAGATGAGAAATAGAGACAATAAGAGTTAATTTGCATTTCAGGTACACCAATGGGAACTTGATCTAAGTGGCTTTTGAAAATTTTCAAATCCAACGGAATATATAAATCATACAAGCTCCATATGCAAATACAATAGGAAAAGAATTTCCAGCAACTGTTGACATCAGACAGAACCGGAAACACTTTTCTGGTTTTAATCAAATAGGTTTTTCAAATAAAAATTTTCTTCTAAGCAATTCACAAACTTTAAAGATAGATGGGACTAGAGCAAATGTATTTACCTCTAGGATTGATAGTTTCTGCTGATGGAGCCATTGCAAGTTAAGATATAAGCAAATCTGTGTCTGTTTCATACAAAACTCAATTAGAATTTCCCTATTTCTCATTCTCACAAGAAAGATCGCAGCACAATTGCCTAACAACATGCAAGAAGCGTGTGGCCTCACAATTTATAAATAGAGAGAGAAAGAGAGAAATCTCCCTTGCCTATACGACACCATAACATTAGCCTAAAGTTCACTTCAACCAGTCTAAAACTATAATACCTTAGCACATGCACTTCTTTTCAAACCAAGCAAAAAGAACACAAAATCATTTAAATTTAAAATTCTAGCTAAAAAATAGTTCAGCTTAACTACAAACCACTCCACTTACACCCCAACTAACCCAAAAAGGGGGAAAACAAAAGAAAATATCATACCAGGCCGCAACTACTATTCCTGAGATTTAACAATTTCATCATATCGTTGGCCTATCAATTAGTACCCAGCTGATAACAAAACAGGCAAAAAAAACTTAATTATAGCCTTGACTGCGCTTCAAACCACTAGAGTTTTCGTGGCTTCATGGATACATATATATGCAACATAAACCAGACCTGCAAGTTGACCTTAGCATTTCCGGAGTTCCCGAAGAAAAACATTCAGTACAGTAAAAACTAGATCTAATTCACTACTCCAAATGATCAGACGCTAAATCAGTGACAGAACACATTCTGCATACACAGCTGATTTCGAAATTAGATTTAGTTAACAGCTTAACACAAGTACAAATTTAAAAAATCAACAAACGATACAAATTGGAAAAAAAAAAAGAAGAAGAAGAAGCTCATCAGAATTGATCTACAAAATGCACAGACGAACAGATCGAAAAATGCAGCGATTAGCTTTTGGAGTAGTACCTGTCTGGATAAATTAATGATCCTCGACAAACCAGAGCAGCAAGTTATGGAAAGTGAGTTGTCAAGTGAAGTGAAATAGAGGCAGTCAGATATATATAGGAGATGAAGAGGAACCCAAATGGTGGCTATGGGCGCCATCCGCCGCCATGTGTATTACAAAATTCTAAAATACATAAATCGTGTATTTAATTTTTTACGGGAAAATAGCACTTTTTCCCATTGAATTATATACTTGTAGCACATTTTTCATGAATTATTCAGAAAAAAAGTGCTATAAGTATATAATTTAGGGAAAAAAAAGTGTTATTTTCTTTATTTCTTTTACTATGTAAAAAATTAAATAAAACTCTATACTAAATAGGGATGTCAATGGGACGAGATAAAGGCGGAAAGACATACTTCCCGTCCTCACACTTAATTTTCTCTCACATTTTTCGTTCTCGTCCTTGATGGAAAATTAAAAATTCTCTATACTTAATTTTCTCATACATTTTTCGTTCTGGTTATCGATGGGAAATTAAAAATTTTCCTCATCTCCATTCCTGATTTCCTAATTCTCGTTTTTGTTAGAGCGGGGAGGCAAATTCCCCGTTGGTATAATATATAAGTTTACATTTCTCTTGTATTATTTATTGCGTTTATCACAATACATATATTAACTAAAGAGACCAAGACTATGTGGTTTAATAGTACTCGGATTGGACTTCTATTTTGAGCTTCAGTGAAGGCGTTATTGATTCTTTGTGTTTCAATAGGTTGAGAAAGTATAGAGCCAGTAACATTCAAAAAAAAAATTAACTAAAAAGTATTTTTATTTATTATTTACTTTCACAATTGTATAATTATATACACATTTATTTTTTGTACACCTAAGTAGTCTAAATTATTATTTATATAATAAATAACAGGACAAGAACAATTTTTAAAATAGGGAGTGATGATGGCTGGCTGAATGGCTGCTGGAGTGCTGCACGAGGTACACGTAAGTAATTTCAGTAAAAAAAATGGCTGCTAATAAAACAGGAATTCTGGTTTTCGTCTGCATTTTATTGTTTTTATGGACCGGCTTTGTTGACTGCCATGTGAAATTTTCTGGCTCAATGATTCCCACACCCAACTTGAAAAGATAAGAGATTTTACACGTGTAATTATGAAAGAGAAAATGAGAGAAAAAAAAAATTCAAAAAAATTAGAATTACGCAGTCAGGCAGCGCGGGCGCGAGAGTTGTGTTTCACGAACGTGAGACGCAACTCTCCCTCTTCACATGTGGGTCTCACCCTCTGCAAAATTCCTATTTTTGCAAGATAACCCCATCCCCTTTCTCTCCTTTCTCTTTCACTTTATCATTTTTTCTTCAAAGTCTGTGCACAAACTCTCTATTGAAATTACTCTTAGGTGGGAGGATCAATGTACATAAAGAACATATCACATTAGATAAAACTTCCACGCTTCAACTACAAAATTTGATTATATGGCTTAACCATTCGGGATTTGTTCTCTATTTTCTAGCCATACTAATACTATGCCAAAACCAATGTGCATAAATGACATTGATTGACTTCATTGATTTCATTTTTATATATAATTTAACGTTATATTAAAATTAAAAATGCACAAGAACTCTTAAATATGAATATTTTTCATGTGTCTCAATATTTATTTTTACTTTTTTTTTTTAAATTTAAAATACAATTTAGGTTAAAATATTTCGTATCTAGTATACTTTTGTTTTTGGGTCACTAATCCGATTGAATCGGAGAGGTTAATTAAGTCTAATTTGACTTCATTATCGCACCAATTAATTAGGAGAACTACAGCATTATGTTCTTCACCTGTAATGTGGGCCAATACTGCCATTTAATTAGACTTTAAACCACCTTAGTCCCACTATGCTACAACGAAATGAATTTCAGCATATAATTAAGTTTAAACTACCTTGCCAAAGACCTTGTAATGCAATGGCGCCAAATTGCTCCCTTATCAGGAAAGTTGTGAGATCGAGTCTCAATAGTTATGAACAAATTATGCATTGTAATAGAGTCAGTAGTATTCAAAAAAAAAAAAAAAAAAAAAAAAAAAAAAACTACCTTGGTCCTACTATATGCTACCAGGATTTGAATCTCAGCTGGTCAATATAGGTGTGTGTCCATTTAACTATGGAATAATGCTTCTTTTCCTACATCTTTTACCATATAAGGCTTCCCGCTTTAATGTGATATATCATGTAAATTTTATTTCATTTATTATGTATCTTTTATTAATTTTGACTTTTTAACTAAACACGAATGGATTTCTTCTCACAAAAGTTGAATTCCCAACCTAAGGGTCCCGTACACTCCGATATGATAAAACATTTAGGAGGATGTAAATCATATTGACTCAATGACTCAGCAGATGTGACTAAATGCTGGTGCGACACAAGAAACCTGCCCACTTTGAATATAGTCTCCACATTTCTTTAATCCTTAAAATAAGCTAGGATGATGCTTAATTAATACAGTGATAATATGCGGAGAGAATAGCATTACTATTAACTATGTGACGAAGAAAAACATAACATTACTTACAAATTATATTTATGAATTCATTTGTCATTTAACATTACTAATTATCATGATTGTACTTATATTTTTATTATATGTACTCTTAAATTATATAAATTTTACTCTATTATTTTTATTTTATATGATGTGAGTCTTAAAAAAGTATTTACATACAAAACTTGTAAACAAAGTACAAATTTGGAGTAAGAAGTAGAAGTTGATGTAATATTATTACATAGGAGAAATTCAGTCAACTCGAAAATCCTAGTTGACGGCTAAACAAGGCATTTATGATTTATCCCACAGATAAACAAAGTCACCGTACTTGACTCTTAACTAATTAATTATAAGTCAAGTCATCCAACTCTGACTGGTTATGAATTCATTTATTCATCATCCCACCTAAATTTTTCTAAAATACTTTTTGAAAGAAAAATATAAAAGATAAAATATGGAATATGAAATATATATTCTATTTTCTAAACAATAATTTAAGAAAAAGGGTAAAATAGATCATCAAATTCAATATAAAAGAATATATATATACTTTATAATATGTTATACAACTATATACTAGTTTTACATTTTAACAAAAAAAAAATCCCACCTATTAAATTTACCCTTTTAGCCGTGGGAAAGATAAATAAAAAATGAAGTAAAAACAATTAGAAAAAGAGGGAAAGAAACACATAAAATCTAAAATCAAATCATTTTCTCAAATTTCTCAAGTCTCTTCACCCTCTGCATGGACCTAATGAGCAGAGTTAGAAAAACACCTGCAAACAAAAGTGTTAAGGTTAATGTTTGCAGCAGGAAATCTAAGGATACATAAAACATGAAAGACGAAACCTCTCGATCGAAACGCTGTTTTTCACCTGCACCAACGAATGTTCCATTGGCAAACATTTGATTGCCTTGGCTGCTGAATGTTATGCCGACGTTGAGTAGCGTGCCGCCAAGAACCGTGTACATGGTTGCCATTTGTAGTATGGTTGCCTTGCGAGCCGCTCTTTCGGACTGATAAGGTTTTCGTGGTTGTAATTTGTAAATGTCAGAAAATCAAATGAGAACGTGAAATTTCAGTAGTTATCTCCAAAAATCATTAGTAGACCCCGTAAACTAGTTCTTAAAAATTGAATAATTACCTCGAGGACTCGAACTCGGAGCTTCAAATCTCCAGATTCAAGTTGTTTCACAAACTCCTCGATCCTCTGAACTCTGTAAGGCATCGATATGGTGTATGACCTCGCCTGCAATATATTATTCTGTTAAAAATACGGTTCTTAATCAAATATGGAGGAGAAGAAAGAGGTGGATAGGTACATCGTCGGCTTGTTTCCTTAATTCCTGAACAAGTCGTGTTCCGCCCCGTTGCTTCTGTCTTAAATCTAAGAGCTCCTGAATGTAAAATTAGAATTTTAGATGCCAAGAATCCATAGGTACTTTCTCAGTGTTGGTCTGTAGCATTTAGCTGCGGGTGTGAATGCAATAATTCACGCAAATATTGTAAACCTGTGCATATGGGGCGGCAATCTTAGCAAAAGAAAAATCTGGGTCCAGACTGTAGCCAATGCCTGTAGAAACGCAAAATAAAGCAGGGTTCTTGTAAGCCTGTTCTTGTAGAAATAATACTATATGCTGCATTATTGCGTGGTTATCAAAGCCACCATACAGTTTTCTATGTTTTTAAGTGATGGGGGAAACCCGCAACCACTACCTGAGGGTATGCACTTTCCTTGTAATCCTAGCGGGCAAAGGACCAGAACAAGAAGGAGGTCAACCTAGGGCAAAGGACCACAAGGAGTTAAACCAAGCTAGGTTGCCCATAATTGACCAGCTCAAATCAAGAAGGCCAATAAGCTCCTACTGGGAGTCGAATTTGTAACCTTGTGGTTACCAAGTCAACAACCTGACCAATTTGGTTCAAATTGCCCCAGTTTTCTATGTTTCATAATATGTGTGTGTGTGTGTGTGTGAGAGAGAGAGAGAGGAAGGACCTTCAAGGGTTGAAAATGCCCTCAGGACAAAAGTGAAGGTGGATGGGAACCGGAATGGTTGATCCAACGCGATAGCAAACAAATCCTGCAGAGCTTTCCAGTGTGAAATTGTGATGGCAAGCGAAACTAAAGTGTGAAGGAATTATTAAAGCAATAGTAATGGTTGACCGGAAAACTTGAATAAAAGTGTTTATGTACTCATCAATCAAAATCCCGTTTAATTCCTATAGAGAAGAACGAATTACAGAAAACCCAAAAAAAAGTTATGCAAATTGGAATAGAGAATTCTCAGGAAATTTCTACCCGGGTGCAAAACTATAGCATTTCATAATACCTCGCCAATTGCTGATAGTGTCTGTTGTTGATCAGGCCTTTGATCTAACAAATTATCCAAGAAAAACTGCACCGATCTCCTCACCTGAGAAGCAGTAGGCATGCCAAAAAAATGGTCATTTTATAGAAATTTGTTCACACTTCAAGACAAAATTTTCATTTTGCGGTTTTGTAACATACGGATGACATGTCTCCGGTGGGTTGAAGCGCTCCAAGATCAATGAGACCTTGCATAACCTGTTTATGAAGCATTCAAATCTTAGCTAATGCACCGAGAAGAATCCATTCAATCGGAGTATCAAAATGAAGAATTGTAGACCTTTTTTGCATCCTTTTCATAAACAGCATAGAAAATTCCGAGGAGCCTCTCTCTTGTAAAGTTCTTAATATCTCCCATCATACCAAAGTCATAGTAGATTAGAGCTTCATCGACATCTATAGCGAGATTTCCCGGGTGGGGATCAGCATGGAAAAACCCTGTCCTTAGTATCTGCATAACAAGAATCAGAAAATTATTCAAGGTAATGAAGATACTAACATTCGTCCACCAGAAGTTAGACAACACACCTGAATTAAATAGGCTTCAATCGCTCGAGATGATATCCGAGATCGGCTAAAACCGCGTGCATCTATCGCATCCAACGAGTTGATCTTTACCCCTGCTCATTAGGTTATAAATAAATAAATAAATTCAACGATTAATCCCCCGTGCTGCAACTGCTTTACCTAACTAGACAATGTAATGCTATGCTCCGTGACACAATAATTACGATAAGTTAGTTTCTAAAGTATACCTGGAACATACTCGAGTGTCAACACCTTCGGTGCGGTATAATCCCAGTACACCAACTGGAGTGGGGGAAAAAGAAGCACATTTAGTTACGTATAATTAGTTGGAAAAAAATGAAACTAAACCAATGACCTTGTTGTCTAGTGGCACGAAGTGACTCTCCCAAATGGTAGGTTGAGAAAGTAGTTATGAACAGATACTACATTATAACAGAGTCAGTAGTACTAAAAAAAAATTAGTTTTTTGGAAGGAAACATACAGGTACTCGGACCCATTTTATGTTTCGAAAGTCCCGTCGAAATCTGTCAGCATTCTTCCCTTCGTTTATATAATCTATTTCCTCGTACAATATCCTGAAATTTCATGAAAGCAAACGAGAGCATGTAACTAGTCAAGTTACTTTATACGACGAAGAACTAAAACTAGTGTCGCTCACTCACTTGGAACATTCTTCGTAAATTCCTATCCAGTCTCTGGATGGGCCACCGAGCGTTTCACTGTTCTGAAAGTACTCAGCAATTAATTTGAGATTTCCTGCACGAAGGGAAGTCAAAACCTGTTGCCAACCACGGTACGGTATATCCGGTTTCATAGGACATTAGGACTCACTCAGATCAATGTCGAATAGCTTTTTCAAACCGGGTCTCTGAACTTTCACGACGACTTTTTCTCCATCATGCAAGACAGCACGGTGCACCTAATCAAAGTTTCACAACATACAAATCAGCATAACGATTAAATATTGACTTAAGACGATGTGTTACTTTCACGATACAGAATAGTTGAAAATTAAACATGAAACAAACACCTGACCAAGACTAGCAGCAGCAATCGGCCGGTCTTCAAATTCCTTGAACAAAAGATCAACCGGAACTCCCAACTCCTTTTTAATGAAGTCTTTTGCTTTGGTCGGTGAGAAAGCCGGAACTCTATCCTGAATCATATGCCGACATTCGTTACGCAAAACATCAGATTCAAAGGCCATCAACAATCAAGATTGCTTCTATAAAAACACAGTTATACCTGCAATTTGGCAAGCTCATCAACAAACTCTCGTGGAAATAGATCAGACCTAGTCGAGGATAATTGTCCGAGTTTAATAAAGGTCGGTCCAAGTTGCAGCACACGTTCCCTTAACCATGAAGCAGTTTTTCGTCTTCTGTTTTTCTGGAATTAAAGAGCTTAAGACTCAGAAATCATAAACTTGACTGATCAAACAAAATGCCCCAATCGAACCAAATCTCACCTGCTTATCTTCTGCGAAGCCTCCCACATATGTCCATTTGGCATTATCCAAGAAAACTCGCACCCGTAGTGAAATAACAAAGGACCAAACATCTACACTTCTTTGAACGGAATTATAATTCTCGTTGGCCCAACTGAAGCCTTCATCTGAAGGCAAAACCTTGAGATCATCGACGGGCGGAAGCTCTTTGGATTTTGTTTTTCTCATAACACCTGGAGCCGCATCTCTCTTAACTATGCTTGCCCGATTAACAACTTGTTTTGTACCGTTAACTATTTCAACTCCATTTATTGACGGTCCTCTTTCTTTCATGACTTCACTTGTAGGTACCATTTCAATCGGACGACGATTCATACCTCTTTTCACATGGGACTCTCTCTGTTGCATCCGAACTAAAAACCCATGGACCCTTTCAGGTGGCTTACATGAACGTCGCTTCAATTTCAAAGAAAATAAAGGGGAAATTGACAGTGAAGAGTTATGGCCAATAAGGCCATCCCCCTTTCTTCCATAGTCAATCAATTCCCCCTTGCGGCAATAGCAGCTGTGAGAAGCCAGTGTTGCCGCCATTTTAGATACAAACCTGGAAATAAATCATTCATAAAACGAATTCAACAATCAAGAATCACTAAGAATCAGACCGCAAAATTCCCTATAGATAATTGAACAAACCCTTTCCTCCCAGATAATATACACCTTTTGAACATCCTATTTCATCTTCTCTGAACAAAAGCCTAATTAGCAAAACCAAACAATCCTTCATTCTTTGCAAACAGGAATCATATCATATCCGAGCAATACAAGCATATATGTTTCAAAACATACCTCTTTCAACCTTAAAAATCAAAACTTTGATCTAGGTCCCACACACAAACACAGGGAATAACATAGAATAACAAAAAAGAAACTTTAAATCAAGTTGGGAAGGAAAGAACTGAGAGGAACCTCTTGAGCTGCCAGCCACAAGATTTTGAGAGATTTTGTTGGACTTGTACAGCAAGAACTGAAGAATTGAAGGCAGGAAGTTACTCCATTAGAACTGGGAAGTGGAAACGTGCAAACTTGGTACAACTATGTTTTAGTGTTTTTAGCGTAAGTTCTTGCGTTTTGACAAATACCAGGAACCGTTGCGAAGAAACCAGCTAACCGACAAAGAAACTGAAAAGGTATCTTGAATATGCACCAGTACTTACTAGGCACCCAGGTGGCGTTCGATGTGCTTCTCCATTCCCACCAATACCAAAACACTAAATTCAAAAGAAATAAAAAATTAAAAGGTCATCCCGCACCATAAATTGTTTATGCAGCTGTTGGAACATATATTTTGATCCATTTATTATTAATTAAGAATGTACATAGAATAAATTATATTTTAAAATTGTATTTAAATTTTTGTAAGCGATCTGTAAATCGTGTCGCCCACATTATTATGCGGGAGGTTGTTTCAGAGTCAGGTTGCAAAGAATGGTTTGATACCCCTTCTTTTTCCTGGTTGATTGTATTTCTGATGATTTAATGAATTAATTCTTTACTCTAAAAAAACTTTGTAATTATTAAATTAAAAAAAAAAAGAATTTGTAATTATTAAATTTTATAATTTTTTTTAAAGGAATTTATTTATTTATTTATTTATTTATACTTATGAAGCTAATAATTCCAATATTCCATTTACTTGAGTAGAGTTTGCACTTAACTCATAGGTCATAGGACTGGCTTGCACTCAACGTACGTGTCCATGTTACTCGCCTCTTAAAGGGTCATTGGTGAGCTGGCCAAGAGATTTGAGATTCTTTTCACTGAATTGGCAGGAAGAAACAAGATTGAAGAAAACAACCGGTGTCACTTTCTGAGGAGTACAGTGTAAATTAATTTAAATTGTTTATTTATTTCTTTATTTTGAGGGCATATCTTGCGAACTAAGCGACAATACCCGATTGCTTTCGTTGATGAAATATGTTTTTTGAGAATTATGTCTTAATTTCAACTAAAATTTGCAATTTGTATTGGTATTATTGAATACAAGGCTTATTATGAGAAGAAGATAACTGTCTAGTATGATTCTGGGAATATTTCTGATTTGCTCATCATTTTAGGTTTCTTAGGGGCTCAGATTTGAGAATCTTAGGGTTTGCAGGTTCAGGTCTGAATACTTTGGTGAAAATGAAAGGATTGCAGGTAATTAGGTAAAAGGGGGTATAAAGTTAGTTATACATTGATGGGTAAGTTAGGTGTTGTCCTAACTCCTATTTAACTAAACTTAAGCCCATAACCCCAAGAGTCGTTGGAGGAGGTAAACCTCGAGTCGCCCTAGCAGCCTCCCAGTTAGTTCGTGGTATTGTTGATCACTTAAGCTCTATTGCCAATTTGATAACATAAAAAAGACAATGTTGAATTGTTTTTTTTACCACATTCAGAAAAACATAAATGAAGTTAGAGGCTCATCTATGATTAGTTGTGCAATCAAATTTTAGTGATTCTGAATCTTAATTGGCATTATTTGTATGAATCTGTGCTGGGAATTTGCAGCAAGTAAAGGTGTAGAAATCTTAAATGATAGAAGTGGAAAGATTTGAAGAAAGGTGATAACTGAATCGAAAACTGACAATAAAGCGAACTTGTGATCTTGAACTAAGAAAGTGTTTCCAGTATTGGAATATGTTCTATGTTGTAGACATGGTTGATTGTTTGTATGTGCTGAACCTTTGCTTGATCCTTACTTCCATTGATTCTCAGGTTTTGTATCAGCTCTTCGGGCATTTCCTCGAGGTGTAATTTGCGGATGCTGGCAATATGCTCAATTCCCTGTGGTAGCTGCTTTAATTTCTTGCAATGAATTAGATGCAGCTCCCTTAGGCTTGGTAATGCGCCTTCTGCTAAACATATACCCTCTAATTGCTCGAATTCTAACAATTTCAGGCTGTTGAGCTTGGGGAATCCTCTTGCCCTGAAGTGCAGGATCTTGCCATTGTATGCGTTTTGAAGCTCGAGGAACACGAGAATTGGAAGTTCGTCAATAGGAGGAAGTATATTTTCTTCTGACAGAGATGATCCCAAGTGCAAATGGGTGAGGTTCTGTAAGGATCCGAGCCAGTGAGGCAGCACATTCAACTGTCCGATCAATGTCAGCTTCTGAAGAAATGGCGGTGCTGAAATTAAGTCTCCTAGCTCGACTGACTCTTCTTCATTGCTTGCGGTGATGCTTAGCCTACGGAAGCTTTTAAGCATTTGAATTGAAGTGCTGAGCTTGGGCCAATTAACTGCTTTCACCGCTTTAATGTCTAAGCTTCTGAGGTTAGTCAAATTTCCAAGTTGCTGAATTATCTGATCTTCTGCTATAATTGAAGATAGGCTTTGTAACATCTGCAACTTCCCTATCCCGATAGGCACCCTCAAACCACCAAGAGAATTGCAACATTTCTTCTCATCATTGCGACCTACAAATAGATGTCGCAACTTTTCCAAGTTGGATATACCTCTTGGTAGCCTCTCCACACGAGTATTCCTGACATCGAGCGTTTGCAGGTTCTGCAGTCTTTCAGTTGACTCTGGAAGACATTTGATCTTTGTTTCCCGTAGGCTCAAGTACCTCAAGTTAAACAGCCCAGTCAATGCATTTGGTACTTTCTCAATGCAAATTCCTTGTAGATCAAGTACCCTTAAGAATTTTAAATGTGACGCAATATCACTCAACGAGAATGAAGAGCATACGTCTCTTTTAAAGACAAACAGAGAACGAAGCTGGCGTAATACTGTCCTGCTCACATGGAGCTTTTCTTGTCTGCAGGAGAGAGATAGCCTCAGTGTATTTCTCTCAATCCTAGAATCCCGGCCATCATATACTGTGCAGAAATTCTCCTTCTCAGTTGTTGTTATGGCCAGCTCGCGCATCACATCGTGCACTTTTAAGGCCTTGACTCGTCCAGCTTCATTGGCATCGGTAACTTGGATCATGCTTCGGAAAATGAGCTCTGCAAGGTAATCTTCTGCTACCTCCTCTATCAACATTCCTTGTCTTTCTATAATAAAGCCTTCAACAATCCATAGTCGGATCAGTTTCTTCCTTTTAATTGGGTAACCCTCGGGGAAAACACAGCAATACAAAAAACAGTATTTTAGGTAGAAGGGAAGATCATTTAAACTCAATGCTAATATGCCCTTCACTCTTTCAAGCATGGGATTGTTGCTCAGTTGCCAATTTAGACTGTCATTTACTTTCTTCCATTCTGCAACTGTCTTGTCTTTTGTACACATCAGTCCACCAATGGCAACTATTGCGAGAGGCAATCCTTGACACTTTGTTAGCATTGATCGAGCTAATGCTTCCAGTTCCGAGGGACAAAAATGATTTAATTCCGTGGCAAATGCCTTTTTGCAAAAGACCGTCCATGCATCATCTTCATTGAGAGGCTCAAGGTGAAATACACGGCCTCCAGGTCCTATTGAAGTTGCTACATTCTTATTTCTTGTGGTTAAAATAATTCTGCTTCCAATGTTGTTTTCTGGGAATGCTTTTCTTATCCTACTCCAAGGATCTATGGCCCAAACATCATCAAGGACAACTAGGTACCTTCTACTACGCAAATACTCGATGAGCATCTCAATAAGCTGTCTGTAATTCATGGATCCCAAATGGTTAGGAATGTTTACCTGATCTGCTTTCAAGAATTCTCTAACCATGCTTCGTAGCAGTTCTTCTATTCCATGAGCTTGAGACAGAGATATCCATGCGCAACATTCAAAATCTCTCTGTACCTCTTGGTCGTTGTAGACTTTGGTTGCAAGGGTAGTCTTCCCAAGACCTCCCATTCCAACAATGGAAATAATGGTTTGTCGGTGTTCTGGTTCGTTCAGCAACTCAGACAATTGAGTTTTGTTTTCATCCATTCCGACAATCTCATCTTCATCAGCTAGAACAGGAAAATCTCCATTAGACTGCCACCCGTCGTTGCGGAAGTTCAAGCTCCTTCCCTTATCAAGGTTTCGACTAAATGCATACCTTTTACTTCTCTCTGAAACTTCATGAACTTTTGCCTTGATTTTTTGTAACTTGGAAGAGATATGTTGCTGTGTCACAATGTTTCTTGGAAGATTGATGGCATTTTTAACAAAGCTCCTGATCCCGTTGCCATGGCGTTGCATTTCTCTGAAATGCACAAACTCATCGATTATATTCTCCACTTGGTTTGAAACTTCTCTGACTTGCCTCACCCAAGTCTCCACCAGCTCGCTCCTTTCTTTGCTTCTCTCTGCGTCTCTTATGAAGGATCTCATGAACTCTAACTCAAGCTTGATTTCTTCGATTTCATCACGAGCATCTCCCAACAATGCAGCCTGTTGCAAAACGATGGTGGCCAACTTTTCGAGTAGGAAGTTTATAGCACCATCTGCCATTGTTTAAGATTTTTTTTTTTTTTGGGGGGGGGGGGGGGGGGGGGGGGTGGGGGGTCTTGGCACAATTTTGTTCAATTGTTCTTTTCTGAGTTTTGACATGGTTTTGTTCATTTGCAGTCCACATCAGAAATCTATTGGAGAAGAGAGGAGGAAGGAGCAGAGAAAGTGCAATGGAATGAGATGTTAAAGACTTAGAGGCATTCAATCCTTTGACCTGGCCTCAAGAAGACTTTCAGTAAGACCTCAACCACTCCTGTTAGCATGAGAAAGAACAGTCCACTCCTGCCATTGTTTAAGATTGTTCTTTTGGGGGTCTTGGCACAATTTTGTTCAATTGTTCTTTTTGAGTTTTGACACGGTTTTGTTCATTTGCAGTCCACATCAGAAATCTATTCCAGAGAGGAGGAAGGAGCAGAGGAAGTACAATGGAATTACTCACTTTAGTTAACAGATTATGTACATATAAATAGATTGAAGGTAGATAATATGTTAACTGTAAGTACATAATTTGGACAAGATTCATAATACGTATGCTGGATCCTGGTCCATGATATTAGTATTGACTCCATGCCTATGATAATTTGGGCTTTGATGGCTTGTACAGCAATGTATGCTGGATCCTGGTCCATGATATTAGTATTGACTCCATGCCTATGATAATTTGGGCTTTGATGGCTTGTACAGCAATGTTAATTTGAACCCAAATCTTAATGCTTTGAAACCTATAGGATAGAGGTTGGCCTGCCCATCTATTTGCACTCCATTTTACACTTATATTTTGGGTGTTTTTTAAAGAGTGCACCAAACTTGACATAACTGGCCTAGTGCGCCCAATTGATTTTTGGATTTGGTAAGGTGTCGGATCGACACCAATATCTTTTGTATTATGTATAATTATATATAGTCTGTCCATAATATTGACACTATCAGTACAATCCCAAATAACATACGTGATTGCACACGAAAAGTACTAGTACTATTCCACACCGTTTCATCTATACCTGCAAATTCTAAAAAAAAATAAAAAAATTCTTCTATGATAGGAGTCAGAGATTTTTATTTTTTTTTAAAGTTTCTTTTATTTGTAAAAATCACCTGGTAAAGATGGAGCAAAGATCATATAAGTACATGAATGATGTATAGACCTTTAGAAATTAGTTACTCTTTTTTTATATAGAAAATAAAAATAAAAATGTAGTAGATAGATATAACCTTACATGACTCCAATTCAATTCAAATCCAAATTTGCTTGCTATGTGGCATGCATGCTACTGTTTTGAGGTGTCACTGTGCACACAATGTCAGCCCCATAATGGTGATGAAACAAGGTGGCACATATCTATCTATACAAAGTAAAACACCAGTCAAAGTACTGAAAATAGGAAACAAATTAAACTCTATCCCTTCATAAACAAACCATTTTCTATAAATCATTCTTCTCTACCCAAAGTTTTTTTAAGGAAAATTAAAATGTCACAGCTAGTTCTTTGGTTCTTCTTGCTGGTATTGCTGATATGCACTTGTACTGCCACTGGAAAACCTCAAGAACATGTTCATGCTGATGAAACTGCTTGTAAAGACTGCACAATTTGTCAATACCCTTATTGCATCAACAACCAGCCTGTTCTTCCTCCTCCTCTTCCACCGTCGCTGCCGTTGCCGCCGCCGCCGCCTCTTTATCCGGTGAATTGTCAGCCACCCCCGGCGGCTCCGGTGGATTGCTGCCCAGCTCAAAACATGGGACCTCCACCCCCGGGCGCTCCAGCCGACTGTTGCCCTCAAAACTTGGGAGCTCCACCGCCGCCGATTTACTATACATACCCGGAACGGTCTGCAGCCTCGGAGCCGCCATTGATGGAGCCTCGTACTTCCCTTTTTTCATGGTTTGTTGGTTCCTTTCCCATACTCATGACCCTTGTCTTTCAAGGTGCTTGAGATTAGGAGTAATGGATTGTGGAAGAAGTGTAGCTTCATCCATGTTCTTAAGCCTGTGCACAACACCACCTTTCATTTTAATTTATATCTGTCAATTGTATTAATAGTAGTTGTTAGTCTTCCTTCAATTTCCCAAATTTCAGTTTTTTTTTTTCTTAATTTTGTGATGACTTGATGTATGTAAGTTAAATATATGATCCTTTGATTTATGAAATAGTTTAATTGTCTGATTTAAATCAAAAACGTAAATAGACAACTCTTATGAAGAGTTAAAAAATCTTGTGATTATCAAACTAATTGTTTCATCAATTTGATTAGGGTTGTCTTTATATGATTGTTGATAGCATACATATGTATCTTGTTATTTCTTAAAGACTCAATGGGAGTTCGAACCTTGGTTTCTTACTCCAAATACTCCCCACTAAAATATTGAGCTAAACCCAGGTAGGTATCTTTTGTTATTTCAAATAGCTAGTAGCTAGAATAATAGAAGGGAATTATTGGGTTATGATATCATTAGACTTGTTTTAAAGGTGATTGACACAAATACATAACAATTCCGTTGTCGTCCAGCGGTTAGGATATCTGGCTTTCACCCAGGGGACCTGGGTTCGATTCCCGGCAACGGAATGACTTTTATTTTCATCAGTTTTTTCCTTTGAGATTTTAGTATTATACACTAGGGGGCCACGCAAAACTGCAATAAATCATATTTGTTATATATAATTAAGACAAAAGAAATTCCGTGTTGCGGGGATAGCTCAGTTGGGAGAGCGTCAGACTGAAGATCTGAAGGTCACGTGTTCGATCCACGTTCACCGCAATGTACTTTTCATTTTATTTATGAGAAAATACAATACTTATGTAATATAGTTTTAATCGACACCGAGTAAACGAATTCGGTTGTCGTCCAGCGGTTAGGATATCTGGCTTTCACCCAGGGGACCCGGGTTCGATTCCCGGCAACGGAAATTTTTTATTTTAATTGTAATGTTAATTCAATTTATATCTATACGGTCATATGGATTGTTTAAACTTGCAAATAATTATTGTAGACTAGGACTTAGCTGTGAATTAACATTAGATTTTTTATTTTTATTTTTGAAAGAAAGATATTTATTATTAAAAATATAAAATTTTATTTAAATACATTTTTACATTTAATATTTATTTTGAAGGTATTAAATATGACAATTTACAACATGGAGAAATGTTGTACCATCACTGACCACAACTCACCACGACTTTATGTAGCATAAAAAAGTAATAATTACAAAAGGAAAAAAGAAAGAAAGATGCAATTATTGTTCAACCCAAAAAAAAAAAAAAATTACATTCAAACTATGAAAAACTCCAAACGAAAATCAAATCATTATTTGATCTGTCTTTTTTTGTGGGACCCAAAATAATAATTTTCTATATGCAATATTTAGGAAGCTAGGTGTCATGATGCAGATGATAACTCACATGTTTATAGCAATATAATAATTGACATAATAATGGTCCCTCAAGAAATTATGACAAAACTACCCACACACAATGCCAAAAATACCCTCAGAACCCATCCACCGACAATCACCACCGAGCCCCCATTCTTGTCACTGGCGGTATCATCCGCCGGCTCATCGTCGTCGCTGCTTGGCTCCGGCGCGTCTCCATCGTCTCCGTCGTCCACGGCGCCGCTTTTGCTCTTCTTCTTCTTCTTGGCGCCCTTGGGCGCCGGAGCTTCGTCCGGCGCCTCCGCCGCCGCCGCCTTGAAAAGCTGTCTCGGCTGCAAAACCTTGTCCAATTTGAACAGCGCGAGCGGCTCCTCGTCGTACATGGTTCCGGTGATGGTCGCCGTCACGACTTTGGTGTCCAGGCTCACGGTTTCGCCGTCGTTTTTGACGGTGATGTCGTACTTGTTGGATCCCTCCGTCGCGAGGGTGTTCACTAGGCCGTTGCTGGATTTCAGCATCGCGAGGGAGTGGTAAATCGGGACGCCGTGGTAATACAGGAGCGAAAGCTTCTTCGCTTTCGTCAGATTCTTATACTTGGGCATGAAATCCTCGACGACTTTATCTTCCGGACAGAAAACGGTTAAACCGGTCTGGACATTTGAGGTGAAAGTCTCCTCCGCGCCGGCGGCTTTCAACAAATCCGCGAAGTTTTTGCAGCCTTGTTTCGTCATTAGAGTAGTCAAGTTCACGTCGGTGGGCCCCGCGGCCGGAGCTTCCGCGGAGGGGGAGATAATGGCGTGGCTGATCTGGAGGACGGCGATTTTGTACGGCTCCTCCAGCAGGGATTTGACGTAGGTGGAGGTGAAATGGCCGTCGTTGTCCTCGGCGGCGAAGCCGACTTTGCCGCCCTTGAGGCTGGTGATGTTGACGTAGCCGGCGGTGCCGGGGGCCTCGCCGGTGGCCTGGTAGATGGTGGCGGTGAGCGTGGTGCCGTGGTTCATCTGGTGGAGCTTTCTAGATCCGAAGTAGTCGGCGAAGACGTGGAGGGAGAGGATGTTCTTGACGGTGAAGAGGGAGTAGTGCTTGTCGAGGAGGTCGCTCATTCCGGCATTGTCGACGGCGCAGACGGTGATGGTCATGCGGCGGTTGATCTCTCCGGCGAGGTGAGTTATGGTGAGGTAGTGGTTGAAGGTTGAGAACTCGGGGTGTTTGGCCAGGATTCGGGTGATGTTGAAGCCATTTGCGGCGGCGGAGAAGAAGAGGAGGAGGAATAGTGAGAGTGGTAACGCTGCCGACAATCGCTGCATTTTTTGGGAGCTAAAGTGAGCTAAGCTAGCTGGAGTGAGTGGCTTCTTTACACTATAGTATGGGGAAGCCAATGAAGACTAAATATAAAAGCTCCAATGCATTAATCAACCAACTCAATTAAATTAGTGTTTTTTTTTATAGCTCCATTTAAGAGAAATCTGGAAATAATAAATGATTTAGACCCAACATTTCTAATTATTATTTAAAATCCCACCAACTCATTTCACCTATTTAACACTTTTTTGAGAATTTCAATAATGATGTCTGACATGACGGTTGGTAACTTAGTAATCACAAAGTTTCAATTTTGACTTGCAGTAGTAATTAATTGAACTTAAGTTGGTCTAACTCTTTGTGATCTTTTGTCAACTATGGTCATTAAACGAGTTTTACTTAGAATGTACATTCGAGTAACGGTTGTGAACTTTCTCATAAATCAAAGAACTCCTATGATGCGAATCGAGATCAGTCTTGACCTTATCTGATTCTGAGTAAACCCCGCTCTTGTAGGAAATGTCATATGCGATGAGCTCGGTCGAAGTAAATCACACTCAACTGTGACCGTCTGATTCAAGAATCATATTTCACCTACTCGATCATGTATTTTGAGCTTATATATATTAGTTTTTTATAAATCGCCATATATGCTTGCTTGACACACTTATCGTGTACAAGAACTGTTATATATATATCAATCAAAACGAAAAATATTTAGTTTAGTCCAATTTACAATTCAACTTGTAAAGAATGTAAATAAAAATTGATTAAATTACTATAGATAAAAAGTATCGGACTGAAGTAGAATTGAGAATTATTTCTTAGCATTTTTTTTTACAGAATAATAATTAAATGTTAAATACTAAATCTTCCGACATGCATCATTTTTCAATAATTATAGTTGTGTATGTAAATCAAGCAAACCAACAGTATAGTCACATGATAGTACCACATCGTCTTTAATGTTAGTAGGCACCAATGCAACTATATCTAAATCACATGGT